GCTCGTCTCGACACAATTCGCGCAGCTGCGGCATTGGTCCTTCCACTACCTTGTATCGCTCGGCGTCACCACCCTAAACACCGCTATATTGGGTGTCGTCTTCAGGGCAAAGACTCAAGACGGTAAGTAGACCTGGCTGTTTTTCTTATGTCGATGCTGGCCTCATCCCTCCATAGATTGCCTAGCTCAGATCGGCCAGGCACCTGAAGAAAAAGGAGAAAGCGAGGAAAGCCACTTTCGGCAAATCATTTCAATCAAAGCGGTCCATCTCCTGGCGCTGTTCCTCTTCGTCTACGTTGGCATGGAAGTCACCATCGGAGGTGCTTCTCGAAAATATTGCCCATTATCTCTTATTCAAGTGGCCTTTAGGTTGGATCGTGTCCTTCATGATTGCTGAGCGTGGAGGTGGTCCGTCAGCCGGATACATCTCCGCGGGGTTCTTTGGCGGTAAGAGTCCTATACACGTTTATGTATAACTTGAACGGATTCATCTCGACCTGGACTCAGGCCTAACTCTCGGTCGCATCGCGCTGCTGCCGGTCAATAAACGGGTGCGTTAAACTCACGAATAATCTTGCAGGCACTTGACTAGGAGACGCCGCAGATTGGGGAACGGCGGGTTGTGTACATCTACGGTCTACTCGCTATCGCGTAAGACGAATTCATTCCCCGGTGGAACTCGCCAAAGTAATCAGTTATACAGTCTCGAGCTCGTCATATGGCTCGTGCCGTCCCTCATCGGCGGTGCGATATCCGTGTCCTTCGTCGGCTTAATGCTGGGCCCAATATACCCCATCGCCATGAACCACGCCGGCAGGGTGTTTCCGCGATGGCTCCTCACCGGAGCAATTGGATGGATTGCGGGGTTCGCGACCGTTGGGACGGCCGTCGCGCCCTTCGTCACGGGCGCCATTGCTTCAAGGACGGGGATCAAGAGCTTGGAGCCGGTGTAAGTGTTTACTTGGTCTAGGTCAGGCAATCACGACTTACGGAGGCTGGATTGATACAGGGTGGTTGCGATGCTAGCATCAATGCTAGCTCTTTGGACGTTGGTTCCGGGGAAAGAAATTTGAGCGTATAAACAGAGCGTTCTGTGAACTTACCCCAACTCGCTATAAAACACCGCGCATCTTCCAACCGATGCTTGCCTTCTCGGTGAGCTCTGGCAGAAATATATATTCTGGGAAAGCCCGTGTAGCAAGACTCCGTGGCGGATGGTCGACCGGTCCCCTTCTGCAGTACCTGACTGTTCTGCTGGTTCGAATCCAGCCGGAGCCGTATGAAGTCTGCATATTCGTCCCTCTTTTTCTTTCCACCGAGGGTGATACTAAAGCACCCACAGTCGATATGCAAAAGGTCCGGCATTGACCCTAGAGCACTCAAGACTAAATAAATCCTAGGGGATCTTACTGCCACTTGATGCTAGCGAACGACTGAATAATTTGGTAGATCCCAAATGGATCGGAAACAAGATGATAAGTACTATGCATGACTGTAAGTAATGGAGAATTTACAATCCGGCGAACCATTCATCCGGTCCTCCTTGGAGCACGCAGATTTTAGAGTTCGTGGCTTTATTTTTCCAGACGTTCTTCAGCATCTTCTTCGCTTCTGCTCGCTGGTTGCAATCTGCAACATACAAGGTATCAAGCCGTGATGCAGGAGAGGAAACGAACGAAAGCGCATACCGGCCTTGTGCCTCTTCCAGTCTGTCTTCTGGCAACTTGCTCCGCAGTATACGACCTGGTGCACAAGACGTTTGAGTGAGCGAAAGAGATTAGAGATTAACATAAGAGCAGACCAGCTGACAACCCGAGCAGCGCTTGAACTGCGTGGCCTCAGATTCTTGCGCAACGCATTCGGGACGACCGCACGACTTCAGAATCAAGTCTCTAATAGTGCAGTCCTCATTGACCCAGTTCCACACATCCGGCGCCTCCCACAAATCCTGAGCGATCCACAGATAGTCGTGCGCCATGTCTGGGCCTTGCAGAGGAGCGTGCTGTTTGGCGCCGGCTACATATAGCTCATAATCAGTATGAGCTCCATAAAGATGGGAGGAACTTACTTGGTCGTGCGCGCCGGGCCATAATTTTAGCGAGAATGCCGGGATTCGTGCGCGCCGCGATGCGAAGGAGCTGCGCACTCTGCGGGGAGCGGCCCCATAGCTTGAAAGCCGCTAGCGCGGCGCTATGCATCATCCCGCACTGTGCTCTCTGCGCGTACTCCTCCTCCGTCGTAGGCGGAAGGAGTTTGTCACTTGGGGCACGGAACGCGGTGCCCCCGCGGATCGGCGTGGCAAGGCCGGCACCCTTGCCGCTCCGGTCAAGCTCGCAGTGAATCCACACCTGGCAGAAGTAGAGCGCGTCGGCAAAGCGCCCGGTACGAATCAGCAACGGTGCCATCCACCAGCGCTGGAAGATTTCGTCAAGGGGACTGAGTCGGAGCGTCTCGATGCTGGTACGGCTGGAGGATTTTGAACAATCCGTGACGCAGAGATTGCGAAAAGACGTACGTCGCCTTCTCGTACTGTTTTGCGTCGATGTACATCCGCATGAGGCCTTGGAGTACGCGCAAATACGGCCGGGTCAAAAGGAGCTTTGAGTCACCGAACTTGCCGACACAGGGTCCATTGTCGTCGAAGCAGTCTGCCCCGAGACGGCTGATCAAGAGAGCGCGGGCTGTGGAGGAGCGTGGGCTCAGTCGAAGAAAAAAAGGGGAGAAGTGGGAAAACCTCGCGCTTCAGTAGACTCCAGAAGCTGGACCGATACCGACGGATCTCCGGTGACATGGGCCAATTGTATGTCAGCGTCAAAGTTGTTTCGGTCCTTGAGAGCGATCTGAAGATGCGGAAACGCATCGTCGATTTTTCCCTGCCGATATAGATCTTCTGCGATCTGCAAACTTACGGAGAAGAAGTCAGTGAGTGCGCCACTAGTTGGAGGAGTGATCGCGAGCGTACTTTTGCTCAGACTCCTTCGAGACGAGGCCGCCGCCTGCGATCCCTAGCCTGCCTTCTGCACCAAATCGTTTATCCATGGCCGATAGCTGAAAAGAAGAGCTGAGCGTAACGCGTGCCAGTGTGACGATCCCGTGCTGCGAACGTCGGGACGTAATAAAGACGTTTCTTGCCGTCGAAAGTGAACAGGGTCCGACCCCACATGAGCGAATTCAATCTGCTCATTGGCACACTTGCGAATCAGCTACTACCGCGCCGTTTTACTCCCGTTTCATCCCTTGTCTTGTGCGGCTGTATCTGCACAACAGAACCGCAGATGCAGGAGCACAAGATTGAACATCGACTACCATGGACCATTGAGAATCGAGCGTGATTGTCGTGCATCTCACTCGTGTTTATTGATGGTCAGCAACGGAGGTATACTGAGGTCAATTTATTTGAACCAAGGTTGAGCATGATGTGGTTGACTTTTCGGTGATCGCCGATCAATTATCGTACTTCGTGGGAAACTGTTCAAACTGTACGCGTTCCTCCTGCTGGTCCTAAGCTGAAGACCCTTTCGGAAGGTGATGCGGCGGATGGTCCGCGCCTGTATGCTTCTCGCTTGAATCAAGTCGGAGCTATGTCCGTAGACTATGCTGTCTTTTTTTTCTTCTCGCAGGGGCGACGGTGTTTGACGTCCAGTTGCAACTCATATGTCGATCTCGTTGGAACTCATAGTGTGGATCGCTCGTTGCAAAAAAAAGGTGGCACGTATTCTGGGACACGGGAGGGGTAACACGGCTACGTTGCGGATGGTCCGCGTCTGTGATATTTAGCCTAGCTATGCCTTACTTATCCTGCAGAAGGCGCTCGTTCGAATCGAGCCGGAGCCGTGGTGTGAGTCGTTCATGTTCTGTTTTTCTCCTTCAATGGTTCCTCATTAGCGCGGGCTAGGCTACTTACATCCATAACCACTCCGGTCAACATTCATGGTCAATGACCAGCCTGATATTCCGGTCTTTGAATTTACCCACCGCATCAGAGGAGGAGGAGGAGATTGTGGTGAGTTGAGATCACGGCAAGCTCAACCTACTTGCATAAATCAAGCTCCCTGTGATGCTGGGAGCAGAAAAATCTGCCAAGAGATCGTGAGTCGGAAAGATGATTAGAAAGGTTCGGTGGCGGGCGGTCCGCATCTGCATCATATGACAGGATGTTGCATGCCTTATGCAGAAGCTGCTCGTTCAAATCGAGCTCGAACCATACATAGCAGGGACTCTTAAGAAGGCTATTTTTCTACCTCAGCCGTCGGCCCAGTAGCCCAAAGAACATTCGATAAGATTCAACTCATGAAGAGGCCCATTTTTCAAACACCAACTTCAAGCCCGCGCATTCTCCAAGGCACATTGCAGAGTTACTCGCAAATATGAGGAGCGCCTTGACAAGGCTCCATTGCGGATGGTCCGCATCTGCACTTATTGTGTGTCCGAGATTGCATCAAATCTGCAGAAGCTGCTCGTTCGGATCAAGCTGGAGCCGTATCAAATGTGCGCACTCGTTTTTGTCGCTTATTAGAGCGCGGAGAAGAAACCGAAGCTTATCGACAATGAATCTAGCAGACCTACCCCACCCTGTGTGCAGATTGTTGAATTTCCGCGCCAATCAACCCACAGGCATCAAGATAAATCAAGTCCCCACTGTCCATGCTTACGGTTGAAATTTTTGCGACTATATAGCACCTCGCCAAGCTGATAGACAAGGCTCGGTGGCTATTGGTCCGCATCTGCATCACATACAACGGTGGTCGAATTCTTATGCAGAACCCCGCTCGTTCGAATCGAGCCCGTGCCATAGCACCGTGGCGAAAGAGAACCTCGTTTTTTTGTTTCCTCGCACGTCGTCCGAGGGCCAGACAAAAGACGCTTGGCGATGAATTTAGCCAATTGAAAGGCTCCTGTTGGAGGAATCTTCCGAGCGAAGTTGAAACCCCTACCGACCGCTGGGGACTTATCGTTGCGAAAACGATGGCACGTATCTTGGGACACGGGACGGGTAACAAGGCTCCGTTGCGGATGGTCCGCGTCTGTGATAGTTGATGTCTTCCCTAAACTTACCATGCAGAAGCCGCTCGTTCGAATCGAGCCGGAGTCATGCAGTGTTGTCCTCAAGTTGTCCTGTGCATTTTTTTTTCTCCTTTCCTGCTCGTTGTTGTTAATGTCTTCCCTCGTATTTCGATGGCCTGGGCCATGATTTGGGAAGAAAATCGGCACGACTGCGGTTCTTGAGGTTAAGAGAAACGTTGCTGTAATTTTACGTGTCGCTGGGAGGTTAGAAAGACTCGGCGGTACGTCCTTGTCGCTGCTGGCGGGCTCGGCTGCGCCAGAGGTTGCTTGTTCGATTCGAGCCCGAGCCATTCGCTGGCGGTTTTAGGGGACGGTTTTTTTTTGTTCTCGACTGAGGCAAGAGAGTAATCGGATAGTGGGAATTAAATTCAACAGCGCGCATAGTCCCGAGTAGGCTGCCCTGGCACATATATTTCGGCAACTTCTCTATGTGAACATTCGAGCCGGCGGAATGGAGGTTACGGAGATTTCAACGTCGAAGAGGATCCAGAGGATGTAAGAGAGCAGCCAGCAGGTCGGGCGCTTTCAGGTAGTCCTCCGGAAATAAATAAAAACTAACCGGGCTAACCTTCGAATGGCTCAGACCCGAGTCGAACGGGCAGACTGCATAGAGAAGATCGCTACTGGCTACAGAATGCAGGGGCGTCCCGGACGCTACCGAGCCTTTCCGGCCTTTGGGGGTCCTAAGGCATGGGTTGAACTATTTGAATTTCTGTTCATGAACTTCGGCAGAGACGCCCCGAGGGTCTAAATTTGGTCCCAGATGAACGCGATTTTCCGGATGATTGTTAGCCACAGTCAAATCGATGATCAGAAACATTTTACCTCGGACCTGGTACGGACTCCGCTGCAGTTGAACCATAAGTTGAACATAAATGTTTGGTTAAGTTTTGGAATGATCACCGATCATTAGTGTTCCTGAGTGCGTAAGATCACCACGTGGGAAAGCTGTTCCTTTTGCTGTTTCATCGCGGCCTGCGACCGCAGCGGCTTTCTCGACCTCCCACCATGTCGTCCACCGACAGAATGGCTGCATACCGCGTCCGTCCTCCTCTCTCATCCGTTCTGATACTCTCTAGAATCTCACTTGGCCGCTGACAGGCGCAACGACTTCAAGCCGGCGCTGACCAGCCCACAAACGGCGGGGCGTCCCAGGGTCAGGCGCACGAACTCAGCAGTATCAGCAATAGAGAGACAAACGGATCCGCGGCGTCTCTCACCGCCATGCCTGGCTTTCTCGCTGAGGTACCCCCCCGTCTTTGTCTTTCTATCAATAACGAATAATTACACACTGAAAGGTGACTTCGGTGCAAGACGCAATAGGGGCCTTCAACGCGAACATCACACGCATCGTCGCGCTCAACAACCGCTCCCTCAGCGCTCTCGGCGATGAAGAGGCGAACGTCAAGAGCGAGCTGGATCCGCTCGTGGCGGAGACGATGGCGCAGAGCACGCAGCTGAAGGACCGCCTCCAGGCGCTGCAGGCTGCGGTGCTACCCGGGGCGCGGGGCAAGCAGGAGAAGGAGATGCGGCAGAACCGGACGAAGCATCTGAGGGACAAGTTTGTGGAGGCGCTGCAGACGTATCAGCAGGTCGAGCAGGAGTATCGGGCGAAGGCGCGGCAGCGGGTGGAGAGGCAGTATCGGATTGGTGCGCGTCCCTCCCCCCCTTTATCATTGTTTCTGTCGAGTCCTGGGTGAACTGAATTTCTGTGCGCACAGTCAAACCCGAAGCGACGCAACAAGAAATCAACGAAGCCATCGAGGGCGGCGGGGACCAGGTCTTCATGCAGGCTGTGCGTCTCGTCCAAATTCTATATGCATACCAACTACACGGACACTCATTGATTACTGGTGCAGCTCACAACGAACCCAAGCTACGCGCACGCGCGCTCCGCGTTCAACGAAGTGCAGGCGCGCGCGCAGGACCTGAGAAAGATGGAGCAGACGCTGGGGGAGTTGGCGGTGTTGTTCAGTGATGTAAGTCCTTCCTTTCATCCCGCTTTATCCTCGCGCCTCGTTATCCGCTTTTCGGTGCCACGTATCCCCACCCCGATCCCGGCCATCCCGCTCTATCTGCTCTTACCCGCTAAATTCTTTCTATCTCCCGCTACTAGTATCCCTCTCGTCCGACTGTTTCGTCTCCCTTTACTCATCTTCTTTCCTTCCCCCCAACTCCGCGCTTTCCTCCTTTACCCCCTTTATTCATCGACTGAGCTTCACATCAACTTCACACTAACTTCTTACCCCCTCACACTGACTTCTTTCCCCTCTACTCCCCAACTGACCGCGTACCATGCAGATGGCGATCCTAGTCGACCAACAAGACGAGACGGTTGCCGCAATCGAGAACACCGCGATTGATGTGGAACATAACGCGGACGAGGGGTGCGTTTTCTTGCTTTTTTTTTTGCTCCTTCGCTGCGTTTTGTTTTGTCCTCGCTTTCGGTCCCGACGGTGCTGACCTCTAATTCGACAGAGCAAAAGAGGTGACGCGCGCAGTGAAGATCGGTGAGCTCCCTCCCCCCTTTTTTTGAGAAAAAGTCCCAACTCTTAACTGACGAAAACAACGCGCAGCCCGCGCCCTCCGCAGAAAACGCTGGATCTGCTTCATCATTACGCTCATCGTCGTCGCGATCCTCGCGATTGTGCTTGCGATCGAGTTTACGAAGCCGAAGTCGAGTTCGAGTTCGAGTTCGACGACGAGCGCGCCGAGTCCTACTCCCTCGGCTTCTGGATAGGTTGGAGTGGGAGGGAGTGGGAGGGAGGCGCAGGTGGGGTGAGAGGTGGGAAGAAGGGAAGAAGGGGAGGTATTTACGAGGATGATCATGGACATTTTTCGCGCGGGGGATACCGTACATACCGCAGTTCCACAGTTACTGCAGCGACATGCTTATGCCGTTAGACATTGTGAATATGCCAGACGTTCTGGCACTGGTTGGGAATTTATTTGCTCGTGGATCTCAGGTTTTTTTTTTGTCTCGCGGCATACACAGGCTCGAGAACGAAGAGATATAGGCTGTGTGGCGGTTGCACCGCGTCTGCACTACGTTCTCCGCATTTTAAACAGTGATGCAGAAGACGCTCGTTCGAATCGAGCCGGGGCCATTTGGGAGCCATGAGGTCTAACGACGTATTTCTTTCGGTTGCTTTTCAAGGAGGGTAGTTTTCTCTTGTTCATCCTTGTAACACAAAATGTTTCAAGGGAGCAATTAGTTGTGAGTAGAGGCTCTGTGGCGGTTGGTCCGCGTCTGCATTAAGTTCATACTTTCCATTTGTTCAGTGATGTAGAAGACGCTTGTTCGAATCGAGCCGGAGCCATAAGCGTGGTCCAAAAAGGTTTTCTTTGGTTGATTTTCAAGGAGAGAGTCTCCTTTTGTTCGCCCTTGTAAAAGATGAAAAATCGCTTCAAGCTTGCGAGGAAATGGGTGTGTATGGAGGCTCCGTGGCGGTTGGTCTGCGTCTGCGTTAAGTTCGTGCATACTAACATCCATCCAGCGATGTAGAAGACACTCGTTCGAATGGAGCCGGAGCCATGAGCGACGTCCATTTTGACTTTTGGTGGCTTTTCAAGGAGGGGGGTTTCTTTTGTTCGCCCTTGTAAGAGATAAAGAAAATTGTTTCAACCTTGGGAGGAAACGGGGGCCAGCGACAGTTGTATCAGACCAGCGCGCAAGCCTACATACTCTGTGTCGTATTCAGCGTGTGTCGGGGCCGCGTTGAATTGAAGGCGGAAACCTCATTTGAAAATTTGTGGTGGTGGTCTGTAAGGATGCTGCTCCAACCTTACTACATCCAGACAGACACACCGAAATCCACACATCATTATTGCCGTTACCACACATACTACTGCACTGCTCGTACCTATAATGCCGCCATTACATTACTGTTCCTCCTATCACTCGGGACTTGAGATCTCCCCTTGTGATTGACCGTACCTCTGGATACCTCCGAGACACTCCTGTCCTTGGAACTCACAGTCTCACCTCTGGCTTGTATAGCTTATCACCGAAGCTCCAGTTGTGTTACATTACCCTTCTTCTGCTACCGCCTTCCTCTATGGTCATCTTGCATTCGACATATCCGCTCTGATCATCCCTCCCTTCCGATCCTCTGCATCACCGGCATGATCCTTCTGGCCTCCCTGTATGGATGATGGCAACATCTGTATAGTCCCATCTCTGGCCTAGCAAACCATTGACCTCCTCTACCGCCTCCCTGTTCTGATGATGGCAACATCGGTTCAGTCCCTGTCCTTGGATTAGCATCCCATCGACATCCCGCTTTACTGTCTCTTATCTGAGACCCAACCTCCTCCTCTTCTGCTGTCCCCGCTGGAGTCGTATGGCTGATCCTTCATTAGATCTTCCCATCCTCCCTCTCCGTTATAGCATGGTCATCTCCGGACCTTTGTTATTCCGATCCCGTCCTTGGAGTCAGATCACTGCTGTCCTCCTCACTGTTCCCACTGTGGTTTCGTACACACTGTTCGTGTTGTGTGATTCCTCTCTTCCGTGCTGTCAGCCATGTATGCATCTCATTGCCTCTACATCTGCTCTCCGCCTCAGCATTCATGTGTCCCTCATTATCACCTCTGCTTTGCTCCCTGTGTATGTTGTTCCACACTGCACCACCGGACTTTACTCTTCCAAGTATTGTCACCCCGCCGGACTTGACCCACCTTGGTTTTGTCACCCATTGGTTGTCCTCTGTCTGCTCCTTGATATGACTTCCTCCATTCGACCTCATCCTATCCATGTGGTTGCTCTTGCAGTTGGCACCGCTTCTGATACAGCTTCATTGTTGCCTCTGCACCATCTGGTCTCATCCCTTAGGATTGACACCTGACCTTGCTGCCTGCACTGTATTACCATTTGTGCTGTCCTCATTGTACCGTTACTGCCGTCCCTCAGCCTTGGTTTAGTACACCATTGCCTCAGTCTTCGCTGCTCCTTGCATCTCTGCATTGTATCTTCATCGCACCCTCTGACTGATCATCATTGACCTTCGGATTTCCTATATTGTCGACTCCCCCCTCTCCTCCTCGACAATCCCATGTACCATTCCTTCACATACGGCTGGCTGTTCTGATCATGTTGTTGAATCCTTATCTTACATTCTGATTTATATCTTATGTTACACTACATTACATTCTGATCTGTTACATATCTTATCACACATTGATTGTGACCGTATGATAGTTACATATCTTCTCTTCTTGGCTTGACCACCATGTACCCCTTCTATAGTGGCTGCTCTTGAATGACCACACTATTGTTCTGTCATTCTTGGCTCCTCTTTAGTTCTGTCTGGCCGACCACCCAGTGTTGACTGTCCCCGCAATACGGCAGCCTTCCATGGTCAAGACCAAGAGGGGTACCGCCACCGTTTGCTACGCCGTGTTAATACATCCGATCAACTCAGCGTTCAACACTTTCTTTTTGAACATCTGTTTTCGCGTACTGTTGCATCACGGTGTTTTTTCTTTCGTGTACTGATGCATTTCGATCACACTCGGCCCGTCCCCGTCGGATAATCGTATAAGTTTCACAGATGAAATTACATTTAAATTGATTTTGAATACTTATACTGTGACGGCGATCCAACGGCGAATGTTGGGTGAATGGCTTCAACAATTTACAAATCAATGCGTTTGTGGTGGCCAGATGGCGTCGCGCTGTCCTCCGATTTATACCAGTAGCATCTCTGATGCTTTGAGACCGCAAGACGCCGTCCCGATCCAACTTTGATGTCCTGTTGAACTTTACCAGTCTCTAGGGCATCGTCGTAACACATCATTGGATTCTTCCGTTCGCCAATCGGATGGCTGACTTTGGAAAGAGGGAAAGAGACAAGTAGGTGTCTTCTCGTCTTCAGCCTGCGTGCAACTAACTATGCTATCATTTTATGGTTGAAAACCAGTGTGTTCGGCCATGGCACTGGGAAATCTTATGCAGCTCGCCAAGTCATTTCCCCCTTTCTTTGTTCGGTAGGACCGGGTCCTGTTGAACAAGGGGTAGAATAGCAAGCTGTACCTATTCAATTGAATCAATTCCAGGGTTACACCAGTTCAATTCCAGAGCTACACGGACTGAGAACTCTGGTGTGACTGCGTAGAATGATTACGGTGAAACGTGTGTCCCTGTTGCAGATTCGATGGTTTCCAAAGCTCTGTATATAGTAATGTTGAAGTTTCGCTTGCAAAATTCAAATAGTCTAGACGGAAAGAAAACACGACGTTTCTGGGAACGGCGAACCACTTGCGATGAACGATACTCCCGGACTCGCCGAAAGTCTTCAGTGCTATTGCTATGACAGTGTGCGACAGCCTCAATACAGTTACTTCTGCGCGACTTGAAAGATCTTGACGGCCAACCCGGGCAACTTGCCGAGTTGCCGAGGCTTATGATGCATCAGCTGATTCTGTGATGCTTTCGCTTTTCTTCCGCGTACTACCACAACGCAGTCAAGACTTTCGACCTCTGGAGTGCACGGAGACGCGAAGTGGTGATTGCTGAGCGACGCGCCATTCGAATCCATATCCAGGAGGACCGACTGAGCTCAGCAAGTACGCGCGGGGCGCGCCCCGGCATGGACCAGAATCTGATGTTTATGGTCTATTTTTTTTCGTTGCACACACTGCATCCGACCCATCTTACTCACCGGCGCAGAAGAAGCAAACCAACCTGCAGTGGATCCTCTCCCGCATTCGATTGTGACCCCCGTTGATCATCGCGAAGCAACGATTGCGGTATCTGCTGGGTGTATAGAGTAATGTCTTCGTCATGTCCGCCGTGTCTGTCACATGAATAGCTGACGCCAAATTGGACCAAGGTATAAAAGGGTGAGAGCAATGGGACCTCACCCTTCATTGCGCTGTTCTGCTCCTTCCGTCACTTTCATTTTTCACTCGACCCAGGCGGTCCTTTTTTCAACCCTTCTTCTTCAAGTCGGCCTCCTTCCCACTTAAATCTACTTCTAGCCCAACACCATGTTGTTCACTCTTGCCCTTCTCCCTCTGTTTGTCTCGCTCGCTGGCTCCGCCGTCGCCGCTCCTCACGGCATGGACGCCTCGATGATGGTCTGTGCAAGTCATTGACAAACATAAATCATTCCTAATAGTTCTTTGTCAGGCGCGTAAAAATCAAGCAGCAGTGAGTTACAGCCTTTCTGGCTGAGAGTTATCGTGGATGACCGAAGTCAACGCAGTCTGCTGCCACCGGCGGCGGTGACATTGGTGCGGCGATCAAGGCAGCTCTCGAGCAAGCTCTCCAGCAGGCGGAAACAAAGGCGGCTGCCCAGGCTGCACAAGCCGCCGGATCTGCCGCGGACGCTGGAAATGCCACAGCTGCCGACGCGGCTGGTGCGGTGAGTATTCCCGTAGTGCTTCTGAGATTTACTGACGACCAGCATTCCTTTGCAGGCCGCAGCGACAGGTGCCGGTGCCGAGGCGACTGATGTGAGTTTTGGTTGAACCTGAATTAAACCGGACGGGATCTGATAGCCTACAGACATCTGTCGCTGATTCTGCTTCAGCCACCAATGCTGCGGGTGCGGCTGCTTCCACCGTCGCTGCGGGCGCTCCGACAGATACCACCGGTGGGTCAAGTGTTTCCGCCAGCTCCAACTCGGACGGCGAGGTATCTGTCAGCTCCTCCGGAGATGTTAGGATCTGCTATTTTATCTTTCCTGGATTGACGCTGATGATTCTTTGCCAGGGAGAAGCCGAGGCATCCAACGGCTCCACGACTGTCGTTACTGCTTCTGGATCTTTCGCGACCCCAGTACGTTGACGGAATCTCTCACCCTTCGCGTGATGTCTTCTAATGCCCGACAGGACGCTGCAGGTCAGGCCGGTGCGAATGACGCTGCGGGCGCGGCCACCGACCCCGCCGCTGGGTCAAGCGTTACCGCCAGCTCTAACTCAGACGGCGATGTATCCGTCAGCTCCTCCGGCGATGTGAGACTCATCCACCTTATCATTACTGAGATGACGCTGACAATTCTTGGACAGGGTGAAGCCGAGGCATCCAATGGCTCCACGACTGTCGTTACTGCTTCGGGCTCTTTCGCGACCCAGGTACATTGTCTGTGTCTCTCACATCCCATGCGATTTATTCTGATGGGCCATAGATCTCTGCAGGTCAGGCCGGTTCCGGTGGTGCCACTGCCGCCAAAGCTGCAAAGCAAGCTGCAAACGCCGCCAAGAAAGCTGCTGTGAAAGCTGCCAAACAGGCCGCGGGCCTCACCGATAGGTCGAGCGTTTCCGCCGTCGCCAACTCGGACGGCGAGGTATCTGTCAGCTCCTCCGGAGATGTGAG